GGTGTCTACTTATGGAGGTGTGGAAAAGTATTGGCAGAGACCCAGGTTAACCCAGCCAGCGCTTGGTCAGAGGCAATTATGGAAGGAAAGAAGGGAAGGGATTGGGAAAGATGAGAAAATAAGAGTGAAAACAGGGAGGGGGGGAATGGGCAAAGGTGTGGGGTGCCTCGATCTGCCAAATACACACACACACAAGGGGTGGGGGGGGGGGTGTGTGCATTCAAAGGAGGTTCAAAGCTGCTGTGGAGTGAAAACATCCCACTTTTGGTGACTTACTACAACTTTTCTCAGGAAACTGCCTTTTCGGTTTTCCATTTGGTTTGCAACCCATCCACGAGGACCTCCCCGCGTCATACTCAACTGCTGGGAAGTCGCACAGCAGATCGCCACTGACCAGGTGATGGGCAAAGTGTCGCCTTTGGGCTCTCAACCACGACTGACTGCTGCTCCTGTCCGACATGTACACACTGGTACTCTGGAACTGCTCGAGGAGGGGATTCGGGCACTCCATCCCGACAGAGAAGGCACCAGCACTGGTGGGGGAGGGGGAGGGCGATGGGGGTGATGGGGGCAAAATACTCTTTGGGCAAAAGAAACCCAACACACACACACACACACACACAGAAGCACAAGACCAAATGATGGAACCAGAAGGTCCAGGAGCTGACGCGCTCCGGCGTTTGTTATACAAGGATTTTTGTAATCACACCGACATCCCCATAGCAACTGGTATTCACCCCCCACACCCCCCCCCACCCACCCACACCCCCCCCACCCACACACACACCCACCACCCACACACCATCCCCACCACCAAACCCCCACCCACCCCCACCCACACACCCACCCCACCACCCCACACCCACCCCACCACCCACACACCATCCCCACCACCAAACCCCCCACCCCCCCCACCCACCCACCCACCACCACCCCACCCACCCACACACACCCACACACCATCCCCACCACCCACACACCATCCCCACCACCAAACCCCCACCCACACACCCACACACCCACCACCCACACACCATCCCCACCACCCACACACCATCCCCACCACCAAACCCCCACCCACCCACACTCACACACCATCCCCACCACCAAACCCCCCACCCACCACCACCCCACCCCCACCCCCCCACCCACCACCAAACCCCCACCCCCCACCCACCACCAAACCCCCCACCCACCCACCACCATCCCCACCACCCACCCCCCACCCACCCACCACCACCCCACCACCAAACCCCCACCACCCACACCACACACCATCCCCACCACCCACCCCCACCCACCCCCCACCCACCCACCCACCCACCACCCACCCCCCACCACCCCCCACCCACCACCAAACCCCCCACCCACCCACCACCACCCCCACCCACCCCACCCCCCCACCGCCACCCCCCACCACCCCCCACCCACCCACACCAACCACCCACCCCACCACCAAACCCCACCCACCCACCCACACTCACACACCATCCCCACCACCAAACCCCCCCACCCACACTCACACACCATCCCCACCACCAAAACCCCACCCACCCACACCATCCCCACCACCCACACTCACTTGTGTCCCGTTTCCTTTCCTGAGTAACTCAATCGCCTGAATTGTGGAGGTTAGTAATTATTATTCATTATTGCCAGCTCAACACTCATTCACAACTCCGACCCCCTCCCTCCACTTCTCTACTTTATTAATAATCCTGACGAAGGTCTCGTCGGCGAGACGTCCCAAATCGCCACTCAGCATACTCCGTAACCTGAATTGACTCTTACTTTATGGGCGAAACGCAGCGGCCCATTGCGCGCAGAAGTGGCCCATAGACAGTTGCGCATTGAGTGACCTATTCATTTATTTATTTATTTATTTATTTGCTCGTTTATTTTTAAGCAATTATTACCCCCCGGAAAAGCGATCCGACAACAGACTGACAACCGGGTTCCTACTTAACGCTAGGTGAACAATGAGTGGCATGTGGAGTCAGGAAACCTGCATAAAGTTTTGCTCTGCCCAGGAATCGAACCTGGGTCCCTCTGGCTCACACACCCACACACTCACCCGCACACACACACACACACCTCTTCCAAAACCCCAGAATTTTGTACTGTTTTCTTTCCTTCCCGAGTAATTTGATCGCCTGAATTGTGGAAGTTAGTAACATAATTCGATACCGCAACCTCGAAACTCATTCAGAACTCCGCAACCCCTAGTCTGTCCCTTATTGGTTTGGGTGCCAGTTCACCCCCACATTCCCATCAGATGGCTCCCTCCAGCGATACGCTGAGGTCCATGATAGCATATGTTCCATGTCTTATACATAAAACAACAACAACTTGCTTTTTATATGGAGCCCTTCACACAGGGGAGAGTCCCGGAGTGCTTTACAGTGGCTGAGTCTGACCTCCAAGCCAGGGGGAGAGGGAGGGGGGGAGGGAGTGACGGGGGTGGTGGGGGCTGGGATGTGACCGTAAGCACGATCGAAAAGGAAGGTCTTTTAGGCGGGATTTGAACGTATTGCTTCGCTTCAAAAGTCTTGGTTTTCTTAGCGATAACACTAAAGATAAATTGTCCTTTTAACCTATTCTTCTTTCTGGATCTGACCATTAACTTTGGAATCCGTTGGCTTAACAGGATTCCCGCGGACACTGTAACATCACCAGCGACCTCGTTCTCTCGCCCCTCAAAACCGCGCTTCCCGTTTACCCCCCAACTCCCCCAGCGCCGCCCTCCGCTCGGCTGGCTCCGGCCTCCTGTTTGTCCCTTGTCCCTCTCCAACATCTCTGGGACTCTCTCCATCAATCCCATTGCCTTGCCTTCCTCTTCGACCGTGCCTTCAGCTCCCCTCTCGACTCTCTACCCCCCCTTCCCTTCCCTCCCCTCCTCGCTCCCTCCCTTCCCTCCCCTCACCCTGACCATTGCCCCCCCCGCTCGGGTCCCGACCCAACTGTACAGCGCCTTGGGACGTCCTCCCGACGTGAAAGGCGCTCTATAAATGCAGTCTTGTTGATGTTGTTATTGCCCCTCTCGCTCCTCCCGTCTCTCTCTTCCCCCCTTCTCTTGCTCCCCCCCCTCCCTCCTCTTGCTCCCCCCCCCCTCCTCTTCTCCCCCCCTCCCTCCTCTTGCTCCCCCCTCCCTCCTCTTCCCCCCCTCCCTCCTCTTGCTCCCCCCCTCCCTCCTCTTGCTCCCCCCCTCCCTCCTCTTGCTCCCCCCCTTCCCCCTCTTGCTCCCCCCTCCCCCTCTTGCTCTCCCCCCTCCCTCCTCTTGCTCCCCCCCTCCCTCCTCTTGCTCTCCCCCCCTCCCTCCTCTTGCTCCCCCCCTCCCTCCTCTTGCTCCCCCCCCTCCCTCCTCTTGCCTCCCCCCTCCCTCCTCTTGCTCCCCCCCCCCTTGCTCCCCCTCCCTCCTCTTGCTCCCCCCTCCTCTCTTGCTCCCCCCCCCCTCCCCCCCCTCCTCTTGCTCCCCCCCCTCCTCCCTCCCCCCCCCTGCCCCCCTCCCTCCTCTTGCTCCCCCCTCCCTCCTCTTGCTCTCCCCCTTCCCTCCTCTTGCTCTCCCCCTTCCCTCCTCTGCTCTCCCCCCCTCCCTCCTCTTGCTCTCCCCCTCCCTCTCTTGCTCCCCCCCCTCCTCTTGCTCTCCCCCCTCCCTCCTCTTGCTCCCCCCCTCCCTCCTCTTGCTCTCCCCCCTTCCCTCTTCTTGCTCTTCCCCTCTTGTTCTCCCCCCCTCCCTCCTCTTGCTGCCCCCCTCCCTCCTCTTGCTCCCCCCCTCCCTCCTCTGCTCCCCCCCTCCCTCCTCTTGCTCCCCCCCTCCCTCCTCTTGCTCTCCCCCCTCCCTCCTCTTGCTCACCCCTTCCCTCCCTCCTCTTGCTCCCCCCTCCCTCCTCTTGCTCCCCCCCCCCTCCTCTTGCTCCCCCTCCCTCCTCTTGCTCCCCCCTCCCTCCTCTTGCTCTCCCCCTCCCTCCTCTTGCTCCCCCCCTCCCTCCTCTTGCTCCCCTCCCTCCTCTTGCTCCCCCCCTCCCTCCTCTTGCTCCCCCTCCTCCTCTTGCTCCCCCCTTCCTCTTGCTCCCCCCCCCCTCCTCTTGCTCCCCCCCTCCTCCTCTTGCTCCCCCCCCTCCCTCCTCTTGCTCCCCCCCTCCCTCCTCTTGCTCCCCCCTCCCTCCTCTTGCTCCCCCCCCTCCCTCCTCTTGCTCCCCCCCCTCCCCTCCTCTTGCTCCCCCCTCCCTCCTCTTGCTCCCCCCTCCCTCCTCTTGCTCCCCCCTCCCTCCTCTTGCTCTCCCCCCTCCCTCCTCTTGCTCCCCCTCCCTCCTCTTGCTCCCCCCTCCCTCCTCTCCCCCCCTCCCTCCTCTTGCTCCCCCCTCCCTCCTCTTGCTCCCCCCTCCCTCCTCTTAGATTTTCTTTTTCTTTCTTTTTCTTTCCTCCCTCTCTCTCTTCCCTCCCTCCCTTTCCCCTCCCTCCCTTTCCCCTCTCTCCCCGCCCCTTTCCCCTCCCTCCCCCCCTCTGCAGTCTCTGGCCAATCAGATGTTGGTGAGGGTTGCCCCCCTCCCCCCCCCCGGGGCCCGATCCGATCCTCTCATTCATTCAGCAGCGACTGGTCCGTGTGGTGATGTCCGGGGAGAGAGCAGTTGGGCATCATTGCTCCTTTATATAGACAGTACCTCACCCCCACCCAACCCTAACCCCCCCCACCCCCACCCCCCCCACCCCCACCCACAGGTTCACAGCCGTCTGTAACTCTCTCCGTAAACAGTATATACAGATTGGTTTGTTTGGGGGAAAAAAACAAAGTGTATTTTGCATTTTAATTTAATTAAGAGCGAGAGAGCAGAGGATAGACAGAGAGAGAGAGAGGGAGAGAAGGAAAGAACAGAGAAGAGAGCAGAGGAAAGACAGAGAGAGAGAGAGAAGGAAAGAAAAGAGAAGAGAAGAGAGCAGAGGAAAGACAGACAGAGAGAGAGAGAGACCGGAGAGGAGAGAGCGATCAGCGCACAGAGGCGATGGTGGAAGCGGATGGGGCGGATTACGCGCCCGAGACGATCGCCTTCCCTTCGGAGGTGGGGTCCGGCAAACCGGGGCTGGTCAACGGGGTCCAGCAGCAGCCGGTCAACGGGCACCGGCATGTGGGGGCCAGGGACGTGGCCGGAGGGGAGAGGCGGGGGCCGGGAGATGGAGGAGGGGAAGGAGCAGGAGATGGAGCTGATGGAGATGGAGGAGATGATGGAGGAGGAGGAGGAGGAGAGAGGAGGGCGCCCCCGGAGGAGGAGAGGACGGGGATGCTGAGGGGCGATGTGAAGCCCGGTCAGACCCGGCTGTACCGGCACCGGTTCGTGGTCCTGTCGGTGTTCAGTCTGTACTCGGTGATGAACGCCTTCCAGTGGATCCAGTACAGCATCATCGCCAACGTGTTCGTGCGCTATTACCGAGTGCCCTACGCCAACATCGACTGGCTGTCCATGGTGTACATGCTGGCCTACCTGCCCCTGGTCCTGCCGGCCACCTGGCTGCTGGACACCAAGGGCCTGAGGGTGGTGGCCCTGCTGGGCTCGGGCCTGAACTGCCTGGGGGCCTGGGTCAAGATCGCCAGCGTCCGGGAGGACCTGTTCGCCGTCACCTTCGTGGCCCAAACCATCTGCGCCGTGGCTCAGACCTTCATCCTGGGGCTGCCCTCGCGGGTGGCGTCCGTCTGGTTCGGACCCAAGGAAGTGTCCACAGCCTGTGCCACCGCCGTGCTGGGCAACCAGGTGAGCGGGGGGGGCAACCAGGTGGGGGGGAGGGGCAACCAGGGGGGGAGGGGCAACCAGGTGAGCGGGGGGGGCAACCAGGTGGGGGGAGGGGGGGGGAAGAGGGGCTGGGCAACCAGGTGAGCGGGGGGGGGGGGGGCAACCAGGTGGGGGGAGGGGGGGGGTGCAACCAGGTGGGGGGGGGGGGGGCAACCAGGTGGGGGGAGGGGGGGGGGAAGAGGGGCTGGGCAACCAGGTGGGGAGGGGGAGGGGGGGCAACCAGGTGAGGGAGGGGGGGGGGCAACCAGGTGAGGGGGGGAGGGGGTGGTCAACCAGGTGAGGGAGGGGAGAGGGGGCAACCAGGTGAGGGAGGGGGAGAGTGGGGGGCAACCAGGGAGGGGGGGGGGGTGGTCAACCAGGTGAGCGGGGAGGCGGGGGGGGAGGGTCGAAGAATATGGTCTGGACGGAATGGCACCTTTTGGTCACTTGTTTTTGTCGATTAAACCCCCCCCCCCAAAGGGGAGGATACGTTCAGACGTCTCAAAGCGCTTCGCGGGATAGACTGTGAAGTGTAGTGACTTTGTATTTCGCGGGCCAATTGCGCCCGGCGGCGTCCGTCCCCCGCACAAACAGCCGTGGCTCGGGTGACATTATTATTGGGTGGGGGCGCTGGGGGATGGGATTATTACCCCTCGGAAAGCAATCTACCAGTCGACCAACGACCGGGTTCCTACTTACTGCTACGTAAACAACAACAACAACATCCAGTTCATTTGTGTCGCTCCCATCACATCGGAAAGACGTCCCAAGGGGTTTTGGAGTCGAGGACAGAAGGGGTGGAGGGCAGTGGTTGGGGGGGGGGGGGCTGGAGGAGTGGAAGGAAGGCCAAAGGCATGGTCCAAGAGGAAGGTCTTTAGATGGGACTTGAAGGAGACAAAGAGGGAGGGTGCGGCGGGGAGATTGAGGGATATAGTTCCAGTGTGTGGGAGCAGAGAGGCTAAATGCCCGACCGCCAATGGTGGGGCGGGAAGGGGTGGGAGGTGGGGGGGCGTTGGAGCAGGATGGTGTCCACTGAGCGGAGGGAGTAAGGAAATTTGCCTGGGCTTTCATCCCACCCAAAAGACTTTTTTTTTAAAAAAGGGCAAGGAGGGGGCAAGACGAGGAATCTACCTCCTCTCTCTTCCCCCTCCCCCGCGCCCCCTCAGCCGGGTCAGGCACCGTTCCTGGCCAGGCTTCATTGTTCCCGGAGGATCAACTTCAAAATCCTGATCCTGACCTTTATAACTCCCGTCACAGACTCGCTCTTTCCTAACTCAGCAAAATTTCTTCCAGCGAAGATTCCTATCTGCCACTGCCATGTGCGCACCAACTGCTTATCCACTGCTTATACCTCATTCTCCCTTTCCTTTTGCCACCTGTGACTGAACCTCCAGCCGCTCAATGCCTCCGCTCTGGCGAATGCTCCCAAATTCCCTTTCCCTTGTACTTTCCTGCCCTGCCTTTTGTCTGCATTGACACCCATATATTGGATGAGTAGAAACGTATGAGTACGATTCTAAATCGGACCACATGTAAGGAGTTATTCTCTCTCCTCCTTCCCAGTCACAAAGTGTAATTAATACAGCAGGGAAACAGGCCATTCAGCCCAACTAATTCTGTGGCGGTGTTTATAGTCCACACAAGCTCCCTCCCCTCCTATTTTCTTCGCCGATACCTCGGCGTTACCTTCTACCTCATGTTTTCTTTTAAATACACTGTTGATCGTAAGGCAGGGAGGGGGAATGAGAGGCTCTCTCATGTCTCTTCCGATGCATCTTTTTCCCAGCGTCACTGTTGGCATGAAACAGATGTTAGTCACAAACTTGTTCCAAGGCCGGCTTTTGGCCTCCTTTACAAAGGGATGGAATTGGAGATAACAGTCCCCATCCAGTCAGCTTTATGTACATAAACACCTGATTGAAGAAGAGAGACATCGCCCTTCCTTCCTCTCCACGCACGCACGCACGCACATTGGCAATAGAATCTTTTCGGAACCAAGATATCAAACATCCCCTGGAGAGAGTGTGGGAAAGTGACCTTGAGTAGGTGAAGAGGAGGAAGGCAGGAATCCACATCGAAGTCAGTCACAAGAGAGCCTTTGTGTTCTTATTGCCGTCGTATCAGCAGTAAGAATATCGAGACTCTCGACAATTTTCGCCAGCACTGGAACCAAACTATGGAATTGCAAGGAAATTCCAAAAGGAGATTGATTTGGGCCTCACTGGAAAGTGCATCGGGCCCCTTAAGGCTAACCCATTCATAGGCAGCCTGGAGTCTGTGAACATGTAGAGAAAATCGTCTTATTCTCTTCCACCTCAGTCGGGAGAAATTCCTGAACGCGCGGGCTCTGGGCTGGAAATATTATCGCAGCTGATTTGCTCAGTTGCCTTGTTGAATTGTTCACTCCCGAGGAGAATGTTTCTGTTTTTGCTGGTGATTTAAGGCTACGCTCCCGAGGGAGGGCCGAAAGCAGAAGAGGGTGGCTACGGTATGATCAGAGGGCAATGACCATTCAAACCGTAGTGTTAGCAGTTCACTAGTGATCTGGAGCACTTCTGTATCACTGTGGATGCTTTCGCATCCAACATGAGCTTTAAAAAAAATAGAAATAAAGTTTGGATTTGGTAGTGCAGTAAAACCTTGTTTTGGCAGCGAAATCAACTCATGTTTCAAAGACTAAAGCGCCATCATTCCATGTCATCAACTGTTGAGAACCAAAAGAGCTGCACTTTACGTTGTTCCAGGGGAAGCTCTGGTTGAATATGTTTACGGTTAGTTACCCTGCTGTCCATCAGTATAATTCACATATAAACGCAGAAGTCATTAGGAACACAATACAATATAGCTTTTAAGAGAGAACTGGACAGGTATCGGGGGAAGACGGGTTTGCAGGGTTATGGGGAGAAAGCTGGTGATTGGGGTTAGTGAAAGTGACGCTCTGTCAAAGAACCGCACAGACTCGATGGGCCGAATGGCCTCCTTCTGTGCCATAACGTTCTGTGAATCTATGAAAAAACACAGCAGGTCAGGGGTATATCCACAGAGAGAGGAAAACGAGTTAACATTTCAGGCCTATGAAACTGTGTTTATATCAGATTTCCAGCGTCTGCAATATAATTCACAAACCGGTTCAGTACCACTGTCTGTGAATTATATTGGGTCAATACCACAGGAAGATGCATTTATATAGTCCCCTAAATGAGGGGTTGTGTCTCGGAGTGCTTTTAACAATGGCATAATTTGATGCGAGGTGGGGGAAAAGGTCAATCAATCCACTTTGCAATATATCCTGTGAAGCGCTTTGAGACGTCTGAACGATGTGATAAGGCGCTGTATCAAATGCAAGGCTTATTATTATTAATATTATTATTAACTAGCACATCTGCTGCCCTCACTATCTTGGCTCAATTGAAGCTTTTTTGCCAAAGTAAAAGTGTTGAAAATGGGGAGGGATTGTGCTCCTGAGAAATCAGCCAGTTGTAGCTGACGGGGTAATGTATCTCTGGGTATTCAAGCGCTCTGGGACACTACCCTGCGCGAGGGGCGCTCTATAAATGCAAGTTGTTGTTATTGTGTTAAAACTCAGCACAGGAAATCTTGTCTGCCTGCTCAGTTGGTGGTTAAGGATCCCATGACTGGAAAAGAGAAAGGAGCGTCTCTCTGTGTCCTGACCAAGAAAACCCCAAATAAAATTGGTCATTGCTTTCACAGTTGGTTGTGGGATTTTGCTGTGTGCACAATTGGCTGCCGCACTTGTCTAGAAAGGAGTCACCACACTTCATAGCATATCCTGTGAAGGGCTTTGAAATACCCCCCTGACCTGAAAGGTGCTTTTACCAAATGTAAGGGTTATTGTTGTTATTGTTTGACAAGAGTAACTTAAGTTACAAAGAGGTAATAACTCTGCACCGGTAGAGTAAACAGCACTCGGTTCGTAGCATGTTTTTAAAAACAAGTCACAATGTTTATCTAAATATACTATGTATTCCAAAATAAACCTGGTTTAGTGCTTTAACCTCTATGCTCTCTCTCAATGTGGGGTTTGATCCAGCATGGAGTTGTAAGATGAAAGACTCCCTTTTTTTAAACATCAGAAGCTTCTAAATGTTAGTTTCCGTGACTGTGTCTTCAAGATTAAGGCTGTGTTTAATATTTGGCCCAATGTGCATTCTAAAGTGCTATAAAGATGGAGGAAATGTAGAACCTGGTGGGTTTTCTAGTCACTGAAGTGCTTTTAAACGTTACATGAACAATCAAAGGGCCAATATCAATTGCTGTGGAAATATTACAAAACATCTATTCCCATTGAGATAAAAGGAATGTGTTCAGCAAGTGGGTGTTCATACCTCTTGGCTCGGACAGGTTGGAACAGCATTTAATTGCGGGTGAATACAGTTCTATTTCAAATCTCAGCGCAAAGTTTAGGTCGGAGGCATAATATGGCAAAAGTGTAGAGCTGAAGGAGGAAAATGTAATGTAATAATTTGTTCCCATTTGAAGTCTTGCAGAGTTAGATTAACCTTTTTATCAATAAGAGTTGATACCGACCATTAATTGTGTATGCACTTTTTGAGGCTTTATTTCTTTGGATCCTAGTTGAGTACTATCCATTCCTGTAGTGCATTATTTACAGGAATTGCACAGATAAGAAATTAGACCCCTGAATGTAGAGGAGAATAAAACTGAGACCTTAAAAGTCCCTTTTGTATTGAATATTGAATAACCACTGGGCTATAGGACTCCACAAAATGTCTATGTTATAATAATAATAATAATAATCCTTGAATCTTAAGAATCTGAGGTATAAATGCATCAAATAAAATTAATGACTGGATTGAGTGTAGTCTATAATAATGTTTCCCTTTAATGCTGTTAAACTAATAATATTGTTTGCATGAAGTTGATTGTTTCATCATTTGCATGAACGTTTCACCGACAAAATACACAGTATATCCTGTGAAGCACTGTGAGATGTCTGGAAGACGTGATAAGGCCCTATATCAAAGGCAAGGATTATTATTATTATAACTAGACATTTTGTGGAGTCCTGTAGCTCAGTGGTTAGAGCACTCGCCTTGCAAGCAAAACACCTGGGTTCAATTCCAGGAGGGCAAACCTTGGGCAAGTTTCCTTACTCCACACGTCTAATAATAATCCCTCCAAAAAACAATAATAAATTGATCATTTACAATCCACGACTTGTTTGTGGGGACGCTGCTGTGCCCAATTGGCTGCCGTGTTTCACCCACAAATATATACAGTCAATTCACTTTACAGTCTATTCTGTGAAGCGCTTTGAGATGTCTCGAAGACTTGAAAAGCGCTATATCAAATGCAAGGATTATTATTATTATTTAAGACCCACTTTGATAGCTCACAACTCTACATACGTGGCCTCTCACCACATCCCTTAATTCTTTTTCTTTAGAAACTGATCTATTGGTTTCTGTATCCTTCTCAGGTCATTTCTTTTCCTAACTTCCCTCATTAATTCAAGATTTTCAGTTTGTGTTTCCTGGTGTTTAAAGCGTCGACTGCTAAGCAGGGAACGAGATGCCCGAGGCACTTTATCCCCTTGAGTTAGATCACCTCCAGACTTTTTTCCTCTAACAAGAACAAGCTCAGCTCCTTTAACCTTTCCTCGTATCTTAACGTCCTGAGAACTGATATCATCTTGATTTCTTGCCTCTGGTCCCTCTGAACAGGAGGATTAGATGACCAGCCGGCACATAATACTCCAGATAGTGCATGACCCAACGTCTTCAGTTACCTGAAACAAAACCAGACGTGGCCGGGGGAACACTCAGCAGGTCAGGCAGAATCTACGGAGAGAGGAAAGTCAGTCAACTCTTTCGGGTCCACGACCTCCACGACCCTTCATCAGAAACAAGTATCGTTCTGATGAAGGGTCGTGGACCCGCAACGTTGACTCATTATCCTCTCTCCATAGATGCTGCCTGACCTGCTGAGTGTTTCCCCCGGCCACGTCTGGTTTTGTTTCCAGATTTCCAGCCTCTGCAGTATTTGTGTGTTTTGGCTTCAATTACCTCTTGATTTATACCCTGTTCTGCAGTTTATGATTCAAGTGCGCTGGATTGTCAGAGGTGTCGCCCTTCGGACGAGACATCTGCCTGTTCGGGTGGACATTAACAATCTCATTCTAAAGTACTATTTAAAAGGAGGAGGGAGTTCCTCCCGGTGTCCTGGCCAACAAACCCTCGGATAAAATTGGTCATTCGCTTCTTCGCTCTTTGCGGGACATTGCTGCATGCAAATTAGATGCTATGTGTAATGACAAAGTACACAGTCACTACACCCGTATAATGTATTGCGTGAAGCTCTTTGAGTTGTTTTAACTGTGTATAAAAAGGCGCTACATCAAACGCAAGGGCGTTTATCATCAAATACAAGATTATTCAGCACGAAATGTACTTTCATAAATTTATCAGCACTTAACTCCTCAGATCTGTTTCCTGGTCAACACTTAATCTGCCTTTCGTTCCTTTACTCCCATACTAATGAAAGTTTTTATATTTATCCACAATCTGTATCTGCCACCTGCTGGTTATTACCTGAAAGATCCAAATCCTCCTGAATTGGTTATATTGCTCTTCGTTATTTGCTTTGCCTTCTCCTTTTCAATTTTGGGTATAACCAAGTGAACGTTTGCCTTTATGTTACGCTTGTCTGAAATACAGTCACTACCCTTCACAGTAAGGCGTGTTGAAGTGCTTTGAAATTCCCCCCCTCACCCTCACCGTGAAAAGTGCTATATTAAGTGCAAGGGTTATTATTACTATTATTTGAAAACCATCCCAAAGGAATCCATTTTCTTCCTTCATCACAAAAAAATGCTGCCTTCTGCTGTCCAACCTTTGTTGGCTGTACAACTACTTTAAATCGGTGTCCCCCGATCCACCCGCCAGTGGAAATAGTTTCTCCTTGTTCACCCTCTCGAATCCCCTCATAATTTTGAAAACTTCTGTTAAGTCTCCTCTTAACCTTCTAACCTCTAAGGAGAATAATCCTCGCTTCTCTCGCCTCTCCTGATAACTGGAGTCGCTCATTCCTGGTACCATCCTGGCAAATCTCCTTTGCACCCTCTCCAATGCCTTGACATCGACCCTAAAGTGTGAGGCCCAGAACTGAACATGGACCTTGTATCTATCTGCCTGTACATGTGCATTTTTAAATGTAGACAGAAAAGGGTAAACTTAGTTGTACATGTTGTTCTAGGCTTAGTGGGAGGTGGAGTTTGTGGCTTTCTACACATTTATGCAGGTAATGGAACTAACTAAATAACACAGGAAACCTGTGCTTGTTATTTGGCTTTGGCAAAGGGCTGTACCTATTCAAAAATGTCAACAATACATTTTGAATTTTATGTCCCTTATCGCGTTGTTGAAGCATCGTAAAGCGTTTCATAGGATTTTACTATCAAGTGCAGCGACTGTATTTGTAGGTGAACACAGCAGCCAATTTGCACACAGCATTGTCCCACAAAAAGCCATGAAGTGAGTGACCATGTTTTTTTTTAATGTGGGGGGCTTGTAGGCCAGGACACCATGAGAAGCTCTCTTTTGTTTTGAATACGGGATCTTTAATGCCCACCTGAAGAGGTAGGTGGGCACCTCAGCTTAACCCCTGCATCGGAAGGATGGCACCTCCGCCGAACGCAATCCGAGCCTGGCTCGCACTGGGAGAACGTTATGAAAATCGAATTGTGATTCAATCTCATTGATGTGAATGCCTCGTTTCTAATAATGTTTCTGTTCTTTGTTTCACAGTTTGGCGTGGCGATTGGTTTTCTTTTACCTCCAGTTTTGGTGCCAAATACTATGAATGATACTAATCTGATGGCAAGCAATATAAAAATAATGTTCTACGGCACAGCAATAGTGTCCACGGTGCTTTTCCTCTTAGTAATAGCAGGTAAATAAGTGTATTTCGTGCTGAGAAAGTCAAAGCATTGCTAAGTCTATTGTGTGCCTGTACCCGAAAACCAAAGCACCTTTTTGGATATACCAATTTGTGCTGTGATTACCGTAGAGTGTAAGGATTCATTCTTAAGCTTTTTTTAAAAAAAAAATTCCGAAACTACGTTTGTTGGACTTTTGTTCAAACTGTAAAAGTTAGTCAATCGAGCCACCTCCGATGTGAAGGGTGCTCTGTGACTTCAAGTTCTTGTTGCAATAAGAATTATAAGTAAACCTTAAGACACGCAAGTGTAAAACACTCGTGATTAAGTTATCTGGGACAAGTGGCAGGAATAGAGCCAGATTGCTTTTATGGTGTTAGAAACTATTCATTTTTAAACCAGGATTACGTTGTTTTCCACCCAAATTTTATGCATTTTAACAATTTTTGGATACATGAAAAAAGAACCAATAAATGTTTAATTGTAGGACTTCTTCATTGACTCATGTTTGCGTGCAATAAGGAATGACTGATATTCGATGGGTGGGTTTGTTGACCAAACGTTTGGAAGTGTTTGTTTTTTTTAAAAAAAAGGGGATTATTTTGCCAATTTAGGCATTTGGTCTTTTCCCTTTCTACATAAGGTGTATAATATAATAACAATAATCCTTCATTTGATATAGCACCTTATCACGTCTTTGAGGCTTCTCAAAGCGCTTCACAGAATTTACTGTAAAGTGGTAATTGACTGTTTATTTTGTGGCTGAATTGAGTGACCAAATTATTATTGTTTTTTGAAAGGGAAAGCGACACAATATTACCCCCGGAAAGCGATCCGCCAATCGACTAACAACCGGGTTCCTACTTACTGCTAGGTAAACTGAGGTGTGTGGAGTAAGGAATCTTGCCGAAGGTTTTGCCCAATTTTGCCTTGACGATTTGACAGACAATCATTCTTTTTTTTCCCCTCCGTGCGAGGGTGGCATCTGTATTTAAATTAAAATAAATTAAACAAGAGTGACTTGTGAAAACTGGGACCTGCATAGTGAAAGCTTAATATTAAAGAGGCAGCCTTGGATTTAGAAGCCAGGATTATGCCTGACACACTTCTTTGCCTCCCTGAAATACAATTTGTTTGTATTTCCTTTGCCGTGCGCGGCGTCTTGATGGTAATTGTACTTTGTTTTTATCCTCCCAATAGTATTTAAGGAGAAGCCTCCACTACCCCCAAGCAATGCTCAAGCACTGGTTTTGGACAGTCTTCGTGTAGACTATTCGTACAAACAGTCTGTTATTAACTTGTTCAAGAATGTTCCGTTTATACTACTGTTGTTAAGTTATGGTGAGTACAGTATTTCCTCAGGTTTCTTTTTCGGATTTACCAAGCGATAAATTGAGTGACGTAGAGACCAGGAAACTCTATGTCATTATATGCTTTGCCCTCATGTGGTCCCTAAACCTCACAGTGTCAAATCTCCTTTGTAGCTGCCGAGGTTTGGGTCTATTTGTTTAGATTTAATGATTCATTGGCTATGATCCTTCGAATCTTACTGGCCTTAAATTGAATACGTAGTCAAGATATTGTAATTTCAGGGACTGATGTCTCTTCTAGTTCTCAGGAGAGCTGGTAAATGATCATTTTTCTATTTCATTTTTGTTTTATAAGGTGAGGGATGTAAATCCTGGCCTGAGTAAATACGGGATATCATGTTTCAATAATACCTTCACAGGTAATTGTTGTCCAGTGCATTGATTGTCTTTGTATGTCAATGTTACAGCCAGTTTACACAGAGCAAAACCCCACATGCAGGAATGAGGTGAATGACTTGGGCATTATTTATTTATTTTGGGGGGGGTGGGGGAGTGTGAGTGGGGGAGATTATAAACTGCACTCTTTTTGAATAGCGTGAGCTGTTTAATATTCTCCGAACAGGCATCTTATTCCAAAGGATGACACCTCTCCCGGCACTACATTCAAGTCAAGGCTGTGAGCTCAGAAGTCCTGACCTGGGACTTGAACTCATAATACTCTGACACAAAAGCGAAAGCACTACCAATTTTAGGCGTAATTGTGGGGGGGGCGACAACATGGTTTGCGAAGCAGTGCTCTCAATTCAAATAAACTGTTCAGTGGATGCATTGAACTAATCCCAAGTTTTCTCTTCTTTCTTTCTAGGCATTCTGACAGGGGTCTATTATTCTGTGTCAACGCTATTAAACCAAATGATTATTGATTATTATGAGGTAAGTTTACCTTTAGGCTTAACATATTTAAATTATCTGGCCATACAAATTTTAATTCGGAGCAAAGATGAATATAATAATCCGTGCGCTGTTTTTGATATGGTACCTCGCCTTATCACGTCTTCGAGGCGTTCTCAAAGCGCTTCACAGAATAATACTGTAAAGTGAATTGACTGTGTATTTTGTGGGTGNAAAAAATATGGAATGCAACCTAAGAATTTATTGCATAAAATGGTAATAGCTTAGGCCTGTTACTGCTTGGTCTTTCCTACCCACTTGGGACTTGGGCTCACGCAGTCGACTAGGTGGTTTACTGATGAGCCAGACAGCCTGGATGAACAGACTGTGTAGCATGACTGCCTAAGCCGGTTTAACCCCAAGGAGTTCCCCCTTCACCTTGGACCACATCAGGCTAGAGGAGTTTGGAAGAAGAAAGCCATTGTATTAAATTGCATTTCTGCTAAAAATGCTGCCTCTGGAGAGATGCACTTAAAACTTTAATATTAATAAGAATAATAATCCTTACATTTGATGTAGCGCTTTTCACGTTGGAAGGACATTTCAAAGCACCTCATGGTTTATATTGTAAAGTACACTCGCTGTGTATTGTGTAGAAGAAAAGCATTATTAATGGTTGCTTTCATGTTTTGTCTGTTTTCAGAAAGTTGACAATTAGCAATGATCAATGTTACTTTATAATAGTCACTTCAGTCATGCTGTACGATGCTACTAAATCAGTCTAACCATCAGATTTACTAATCTATAGAATCATTCAAATTCAGCACATATTACATGCAAACATTATTTCTATTGATAAATTTGCCAATTTTCTTTTCTAACTTGTAAGGGACAAGAGCTGAACGCAGGGAGAATTGGACTCACTCTAGTGTTAGCAGGAATGTTAGGTTCCATCATTTCTGGTTTCTGGGTGGACCGCACAAAAACGTATAAGTGAGTATAATCTTATCATTACTAATTGCAGTGTTCAATGTTTAAATAACAAGCCTTGCATCTGACGTAGGACCTTAAGACAATGAAATAACTTGAAGCACTTCAGAATGTTTTGTATTTATTAAAAGTTTGTAGGCAGATGTGGCATCTCATTTGTACACATCAATGTCCCACTAATTTTTATCTGGGGGATTTTTGGCCATAATAATAACAATCATATCCCTGGCATTTGATGTAACGCCTTATCACGTCTTCGAGACGTCTCAAAGTGTTTCACAGGATACACTGTAAAGTGCAGTGACTGTATATTTTGTGGGTGAAACACGGCAGCCAATTACGCACAGCAGCGTCCCACAAACAGTCATGGATTGAGTGACCACAACATGACACCGGATGAAACTTCCCTACTCTTTTCGAATAGTTTCATGGGACCTTTAACATCCACCCAAACAAGCAGATGGGGCCTGGATTTAATACATCAGTTCTGAGATAAAATGTAAATCTCACCTTGAGTCTTTCTGTATCTTTTGCAGGCAGACAACCTTCGGAGTCTATGTTGTCTCATTTATTGGAATGCTGGCTTTTACTTTCACACTAAATCTTGGCAACATCTACATAGTTTTTGTGACAGCTGGAATATTGGGGTAAGAGCCAATTCCGTTATCGACAGAAGATGTTGGTTATGGTTCTTGCAAAATAATCTCCTCTTGACTTGGCTCTCCGCAGAGACCAAGTAGTTTGAAAATGACGCGCTCAGAAAATGGGCAGCACACATGTGTTGTATGCTTTTCTGTCAGGTTGCTCTGTTTTTGGTATAAACAAACACTTAAGTAAATAAAAGTGAGGGGAGCAGTGTGAAAGTAACACAGAGTTTCTCACACTGTAAAACTGAACGTGCTTTATATTTTCAGCTTTTTCATGACCGGCTATCTCCCACTGGGCTTCGAATTTGGTGTAGAGATAACCTATCCCGAGTCCGAGGGGACATCATCTGGCCTTCTTAATGCATCTGCACAGGTAGCTGAGACAAGAATGTCCATGTAAACAGTCATCAAGTGTGTTGGAATACATTGCTTCATGTAATCCACACCACACACACACACACACACACACACCGGGCATATTCAGGACAGACATGGACTGCCCGATCAAAAAACAGTATCGAAAGAAGGATGGCATTTAATTGGAAGCAAAACAAATATTTGGGAAAGGAAATTGTAAAAGCTGCGGTATCTGGGCTGGGTGTAATACAAACACAGCATTCGTGTTCTCACGAGGGTATGTGAAAACTCCTAACTTTCGCACCGATCAGCAGCTTCAGATAGACTGACTCATCCACCTGCTGTGCCAGCAGCCACCTTGGCTCTGTGCGGGGATTCAGGTGATCTGTCTGATGGTTGTGACCTAGATATCAGTGGCGGCAAAGGGCAGGCTGGGCTCTGCTCCGTTTGTCCTTTGAACCCGATGCGTGTGGTGGAGAGAGAGATCAGGCTGCGGTTACATCTATCTGCTGCTTCGGCCCAGCTCTCTATCATTTGACCCAAACGTCCCAATTCACTTCTTCTCCCGGGCAGTGAACCGAACGACCTATGAAATTATACGGTTCTGAGCGGTGAAATGTTCTGCTTCTGATGCGAGGGGTCAACTGGATTGTTTTTTTTTTTAAAAATAATGTAATGTTATGTAATTGCAGCTTTTTGGAATCGTGTTCACTCTGGCCCAAGGAAAGCTAAAAACAGAGTTCAACAGTTTAGCAGGAAACCTGTTTGTTTGTGGTTGGATCTTTGTGGGAATCATCCTTACAGGTAACCAGCTTCGCGTTTAGAAGTTATTGTCTCGAAGCGCTTCACAGAATACACTGTAAAGTGAATTGACTGTATGATTGAAGAAGGCAGTAGTGGAGGGCTTCCCACTATAAAACAAAGAGGTCATTTCATAACCAGTCAGTTGTGAAGCTAGTTTGTTCAGGTTTTGGAAAAGATTATCACCAGAATGTGTTGAATGAACCAGGAATGTGTCTGTCCTTGAAAACATCACATTATTACCGCTGATCACAGCAAAAGCAAAATCATGCAACCAGAAACTACTTCTCTGGGTGTTGGATGGCGTTACAGTGTTGGCATCCCAACACTTGATTGAGTTCAGTGTTGATTGAAGGGATTGATGAGATTAAAGACTCTTTGCTCACTGTAAAAGCTCTTAATGCCTTGTGTTTGCCCAGTTCTTGGTGTCCCTGAATCCACAACACAATCCTACCTGATGACTCAGGAGGTGGTGGTTGACGTGGGAAATTTCATACTTGTGCAAAGGGGTGGCGGAGATATTCTTCTATTTTTTGGGGAAGGGGTTAGAGCGAGTTCTTGGGGCATTTGATATGTATATATATGCTGGATGTTACCTGTCTGGCAGTGTTTGATACTGAGGGTTTGTGCTAAAAGCGGAGAAAGGGTTTTCCAAGGACTGGTTTCCTTCACAAAGAGCCACAAAAACTCACTTTAAAAAGTCAGAGCTACTCCAGGTGCTGGTCCTGTTCACTTTGTTTGTCTTTTTATTTGTTTTCGTTCTCCAGTAGCAGGTTTGTAGACTAGTATCTCCTCCATCTGATGCAGAAAAATTACATCTCTTGCCACTACAATCCAATCTTTGTCCAATGCAATGAAATACTTTATATTTCGCATGGTGGTGAGATAGATGAATCCCTATGGAAAGTGCTCTTTTTTTAAAAAAAAATGTATTGCCCCTACTTTGTTCCCGCATTACTCCATATTCCCCATTTCGAGTTCTTCGCTGGTTGCTCTGTGCAGATGAGTTGGAAGGAAGGTTGATGTGTCGGGCCTCAAGCAGTGTTGGCTGAAACTATAAAATGTGCTTAATGTGTATTACCTTCAAAGGACACCATAATGCATGATGCCAGTGTGGTTTCATGATCAGTTCCCTTTTTATAAGCTTTGCAAATGTACTCCATTTAAAGCGCGCACTGGGGAGGCAAGATTATTTGAGCTGCTTCTGTGGCATTGGCTCGTATACTATTCGTGCACTCTACATGTCAGCTGTGGAGAATATTTGATGTATGAACTGCTGTGCGACCTGGAGTAGCATTACGCAGGAGACTACGCAGGTGAGAGCAATTCCAAGACCTGAGAGAGTAAGTTTAAAAGTGTTGATGGACAAAGACATCCCAGAATTTAGTTTATTTAAAAAAAATTACCATCCCTTATTCTGTTGAGCGTGTAAGTGAGCTAAGTTGTAAGCCCATTTGAGGCATTTTGTTAAGGCAAAAAGCACTGCGTAAATACAAGTTTTTAAAAATGGATAATTTTGTAAGGTCTATTTATTCTACAGGTTTAATAAAATCAGACTTGAAAAGACAAAAAGCAAACTCATCTGGACTTGCAGAGGTGGGTCATGCACTTTATTTTATTTACTTCCCAATTTCCTCTTCTTGGGAAAGGTATTTAACTCTTTGTCTCCACCCTCCTTCACTCTTCCCCTCATCACTTTTTCTCCCTCATTCGTTGCACCCCCTAAAATACAATCTGATTTATTCAGTTCCCTCTCAATTGTTGATGAGTAAGGCTGTTTTCTTTTCAGGGACTTACTCATCCGACTCAGAAAGGTCATCACAAGGAAAGATTTGTAATTTCCTGCTATTTTGGTCGGATGACTTCCTCCACTGTACACAATTCCGTTTCGCTCTCTCCCACCCCCACACCCCCCCCCTCACTTGTCCTGTAAAAGATCTTTTTTGTTTTCCTACAAGTCAATTAACCCGTTCTGTAACTACTCTGGGTGCTGTTGTGGCAATAATGAATGGCTTTTTGTTAGCCAACATTGCTTCCAACAGTGAGCACCAACATTGATGTCATTGAACATTTGGTGACAGGTGTCAGCCTGCCTGAGCTGGTAGAACTCTTGCCTCCCGAGTCAGAAGGTTGTGGGATCAAGCCCCACTGTGGTATTTGAGCTCAAAGTCTAGGCTTACATTCTAGTGCAGTAACGGGCGTGTAGGTCTTGTCAAAGGTGATGTTTTTTGAATGAGATGTCCTGACATCGAAGGCGCTATGTATGAACCTAAATTGTGATTGTAAAGTTGTAAATGTCGATTGTAATGCTAAATGTCATCTAACCAAAATAACAGGAAATTAATTGTCTTTGTTGTTCCCCCTCCACCCCCACATAGTCTGCTTCTTGTGAACTGCTGGAAAAGGTTTCCACTCCGCAAATTGAATACCGCACACCAGACGACACTGCAATATAAACCTAGAAGGTTAACGACGCAAAGCAAAGCCAGTACGCTACAATGCACAGAGTGTTTGTGGGTACTGAAACAGACATGGATACAACAGTTAGGAAACCTACTGATAATTTATTGAACTGTCAATATTGTTTTGAAGAAATTCTTCACAATGTGTTCATTCGTGTGGGTTTCAAGAGCGCGTTGTTTCATTACAAGCCACCAGATGCAGACTTGACAAAACAAATAAAATAGGGGAGTTGGAGGAACAGAAAATAGTTCTTAAGACCAGATTTTTATTTTATTGTACAAAGATGAGCTAAAGTTGAAAAAACATCATTGTGCTGTTCAACCTTGGAGTCATTGCAAAAACAGATTTGACCAACATCTCTTTATAGATCAGTTTCCAAAATATAAAGGTCCCTAAATTTTCAGCGTTGTTCGCAAAAATGTTGCTGCTTTTTTTCAAAAAAAAAGTATTGTGTTTGACATTGTAATTCTATCAGTTATTGCTCTTGGACTTGTTGGATGAGTTAAGATAGCGTTACGACAGTGTTCTGTAAAATAAGAGGGGCAACTTTGTCATCAAAAAAGTAAATATTCACAAATCTCTGTATTAAAAAAAAGGATTTTACCAATTTTGTAACACTTTTTTAAAAAAAAATGCACAGCGGAAGTGTACTTCATTTTTGTGTTCAATCATTATATAAAATTAATGTATTGCAATAGTTTGCACAAGTTTAGTTTTTGATATGGTATGTGTATGTTTATCTTTAAAATGCTTGGGAGATGGAATTTCTTTTTTCTTTTTTGTTTGGGATTGCACACCGATTTCTAAACTGGACAAAGCCATTCACGTGACCGATCTTGTACAGTCTTGTGTGTTTAATTCACAGGAATGAATCCAGGCTTGACCGATGGAGGTAACCTGTCACCTGTAAGTTTTTGTGTCCAGAGAGGCTGAAAGGGGTGTTGTTCCAATTGTTTAGTTCAACCTATGTCCTTTCATCTACTTTTTAAAAAAAAAAGTGTGAGAGGAAAGAAAACATCTTTTATTAAAAGTAGCTGAGCCTTAAATATTACTATAAGAAAAGTTAACCGTTTTTCACTATTAGAATTCAGTGGATTGTTAAGAAATATCTAAGATCAAGTGAAGTTAAAAGCACAGCGCAAATAGCCAGTCTCGAGATATTGGATGGTACTGTATATTGACAGTACAGAGAGCCAGGTGTGTTTTGCAATTTATTTCCTCGCTTGTCTTTCCATCTCCTGCATTAATAACTATTCTCAGTTGGGGACATTTTCCCATTTGCTGTGACTTTGTGGTCAACTCACTAAGAGACTCATTCGAGAGCTCACCTGGCAAGTCATGGGTCCCTTTCCAACCTGAACAGTGTTATATTCTACAATAAAATACAGTGTTGATTTGTGATCTGGTCGCTCAGGGAGAAATGTACTTTGGGCTAGCTTTCTAACAGACTATTTTTCGTCTGAGTGGCTTGAGAATGTTCAATGAAGTTCCCTCGCTGTCCAGACACAGTCGGATGTTGGGTTGCTGCCATGTGGAACAGCACATCCGTGCCCCCCTCGTTCCACAGTGTACTTTCATTTGGCTTCCTCCACAGGTGGTCTTGTTTGGTTTAGAGCAGACGGGAATGAATGTTCTAGTCTTCTGGAAAATAATTCTGATCTGCCTTTGATGCTGAAATGACCGTGTTTCCTAGTGAAGACTCCCAACTTCGGGAAACTGGGAAAAGCTTGACTTGTGAAATGTTCCTCTTGACGTGAGTAAGTATAGTGAGTGGTGGGATGTGTGTTGGAATGTAGTTTCTGAAGATTTGCTGGCGAGGGAGTAGAAAAATCCAGGTTGTTTCTGGATGTTGACACGGGGTGTCTTAAAGTCTGAAATGGACAAACTCTCAATTGCGTACTGCAGATGTTGGAATTACAGACTGACCTATGAACTGTCCATTCCTAGTCCAGGAATGGATGTGGGCTGCTCCAGAATTCTGGATAAGTTGCAGTTTTCGGAGGGTCAAGCTAGGAAAGCTGGTGTTGGAGAGCTTTTGAGGAACAAGGACTGACTGCATAATATTGTCCTTATTGCATAAATTAACAAAGTTGATAGGACAGCTGTTAATTTACAGCACTTGTATATATTACTTGTGGCAGTGCTGAGAATACTTTAGTTCTCTTGTAACAGAAATTCCTTTTATATCTTGCAAGACAATGTTGCAGTGTTTTTTTTTCCTACCCGAAGGCAAGCATTCACGATCATATAAAGGTTCCACGCACCTCCCTTGTACCTGGCTCTCAGGTACAGATTTCACACACATCTCATGTATCTGGCTTATGTAGAGATTCCACACACATCTCATGTACTTGGCTCAGGGACAGGTTTCACAGTGAGTGGCACAGGTATACTTCGGGTAAGTATCCAGTCTTCATTGGTGAGTCAAGTGAGCACTGATGAGCTGTTTTGACTGGAGAGGGGGCAGGGGACGTTGGAATCGAGACTGGCTGTGTCTGTTTACATGACGCTTCCAACAGGGGACACTTGAGAATTTTGAGAATTTTCTCCTAAATGCTAGGAGAAAGATTTGCTTTCTTTCTCCCAGCATCTAGGCCTTGGGACCAAATGCATCTCTCCCTATTCGTGCATTGACCAAGATCAGCTAACTCAGTAAGGGATCAAACCTGGGCATTCCTGGTGTGGAGAGCTCAGTGCTACACCACACAGTTCTCTATCCACTGAACCATTCGTAGGTTGGGCAAAGGATACACGTTTCTTTGCAACACACGGGCCAGTTTACCACCGCTTCTTTAATGGAAAAACATGCACCCAACTGTCTATAATTTAGATTGTCCTGACCCCTGACTGTCCAGTGCTTTGGGACGTCCTCCCGATGTGAAAGGCGCTATGCAAATGTAATGTTGTTATGATTTAGATTGTAGGATCTCAGGAGTGTGAGTAGAGTAAGATGGTAGACGCGTTATTCTAATATGTATTTAGATGTAAATGCATTTAATAGAGGTTTGGGATACGTATCATGGTGTGAATCAGTCCTGCAGACTCACTTGCACTTGTGGCAACAGTAACAGCGTTGGGGCCACAGCCAGCCCCCTTTTCTCTTAGTATTGCCTTTTTCAATCCTAGGTGAAAGTGTTTGCGCGTACATTTGATTTGAATTAAATGGTTGTATTGGGCGTGCTACTTCCTTGTTATTTCTTGAAGCGCTCTGATAGAGTGCCCTTCCAGTTGTCTTACTTGAGTGGCACTTTTAAAAATGCAAGTTGTTGTTGTTGTCGTCGTTGTTATTGGAGCCTTCTTGCTGCTTTGATTGTAAATGCACGAAACTCTGGAACACCTGCCGTTAACTATACGTGCAGAATCGAGACCTGGGCTGGGGGTTTGCAGTTTTGCTGGAGCCAATGCGACATCCTCCCAGAATCCAACGTGTGTGTGTGTGTCTGCATGACTTGCTTCCATTACTGAGGTTCCACTTACTGGGCCGGGCTCCAGTGGATAACGGGCTCCAGTGGATAACGGGCTCCAGTGGATAAAACTGGACGCATCCCATGGATGCATTGGCTCATCTAAAGCATAGTAGCTCAGTCGCATGTATGTGATGCTTTGTGCGAATTCTAAGAGGAGTGCCTAAGGCAAGTATAGTGGTAGCGGCTTCAGTTTGAGTCAAACTGGGATGCTGACCTGGAGCAGAAGTAGAGCAGGATTATGCCGCCCTAGGGCCGGCCCTTTGTGTCAGATTGAATCGATCGCGTTTTTACGCTTTGGTGCACTTGCTATTGCCCTTCAGCAGATGTTTTGGGGATGCTGAGGGACGTGTTCAGAGGCTACTCTTCTCTGCAGACGTCCTTACTTTTAAGGTGTGATTTGGGGATTGAGGATATGGCGCTGGCCGCGCATTGTGTAGCAAATGTTTTGCCAGAAGGTTGCAGATAAATATAAAAATTGCGCGCAAGCGAATTTGAGACAGTTGGCAGTGTTGAATGTGATGTTCCGAGGCCTCGGTCATCACTGGTGTGAAGCAGCAGGTAACCGCAGTAGCCCGAGAGATTCAGCTGCGTCTCTGCCTCTTTCTTTGTTCGCTGGTTTGAGCCATTTTAAACCGACATCCACAGTTTCTGTGCATTGCATCCGTTACTGGATGTGGCTTAGCTGTCTTCCGCTGTGGTGGCACATTAACCTGTCATTCACTGAGGGGTAATCAAGATGGGTCTCTCTGGGGAGAGTGAGCCCTGCATACAACAACAAGATTGCATTTATAGAGCGCCTTTCTCGTCGGGAGGACGTCCCAAGGCGCTGGACAGTTGGGTCAGGAACCGAGCAGTGGGGAAATGGTCAGGGTGAGGGGAAGGAAGGGAGGGAGCAGGAGGGGGGAAATGGTCAGGGTGAGGGGAGGGAAGGGAGGGAGCGAGGAGGGGGAAAATGGTCAGGGTGAGGGGAGGGAAGGGAGAGAGCGAGGAGGGGGTAGAAAGTCGAGAGGGGAGAAAGGCCTTGAGACCGGCCTTGAAGGAGGAAAGGGAGGAAGCGGCGAAGGCACTGGGGGATGGAGTTCCAGAGCCTCGGGGCTGAGAGGCTGAAGGCCCGGCCATCGATGGCACACCAGACAAACGGGATATATATAGATGTACACACACATATATGTATATATAGAACTCTGTTTGGTTTGGTTGCTCTCCAGCATGGTGTTGGCTTTCTGTGTATCAAATACCCAACTGACACCCCCTCCCCAAAAAAATCTGCTGATGGCCAATAGCAAATGTCTCCAGACTTAGTCTCTCATCCCATCCTGACTCTCAGTCAAACATATTGGTCTCATGGTTTAAGGGAGATAAAGAGACCTCTGCTGGAGGAATTATATTCCGTCAAACACCAATCTACAGTGAAACGAAACTTGCCTCTGCAAAAAATACACTTGGATATGGTAATGGAACCAAAACTAGCAAACTCATTTTCCAAAGGGTTAAATTGTTTAACTTGAGTATTACAATTGCATATCCGCACTAATGAAGAGGATGATTTCAAAATAATCGACGCTACTCCGTGTGAAGGGTGCTATATAAGTGAACGTTATTGTTGAAATGACAGTTTGTGAAATGTTCTTGGGGATGTCGATTGCTAATCCTGTTTTATAATTTCATAGTATGATTCTGTGAAATTTTATAGATTCGTGACTTATTTTTATGCAATGAAGATGCAGCAGGTCAGAGGCTGGTTAACAAACATCTCGTGTTGACGTGTCTTGTAGTTTACAAAAGGCCGTTTGCAGAGCCTGCAGTGGTGGATTTTATTTAGCATCGTTACAGCGGTGTGCTTGGAGCAGCCAGGTAGGGAGACAGAGCAACTTCTGAATGAAAAGATCCAGTGGTGAAGTCAGGGTGACACCGTTTACAATACATTTCGTCCAGCGGGACATTTCCGTTGCAGCTGAGCTTGAAAGCACTGATCAATAGCTTTACTGCTCCTTGACTGAACAAACTATTCCTTCCCTTCTCCCCTTCGGATCGAACCAAGTTTGTTACTGAATGAAATTCATTTGCTAGGATCACACGAGCAAGTGTGACAATTCTATAAGATTTCCTCGAGATGAGCAACAGCCTAAATTGCAG